ATGGGCCCAGCCTAGACGAGTATGTCACCTGTAAAGCTTTGTATAGTTACAAGGCGAACAAACCGGATGAACTATCTTTTCCGAAGCACGCCATTATAACGAACGTACAGCGGGGTAATACCATGTGGTGGGTCGGAGACTACGGTGGTATGATAAAGAAGCATTTACCAGCAAACTACGTTAAGGTAAGAGTGAGTTTGGTATTTAGGAAAAAAATAAAACTCTGTTCTGATGTTCTGTATTACAAAGTACGCAGGTTATTAACTGTACTACGGAAGACTACAACTCTATGAATGACGAAGGCACCAATGGTCGTACTGACTCTATCAAGATCTTTGGAGCAGTGGCCTCACTCTTCGAATCAAATGAGCCAGGCATAATCTTTAAGCTGCAGATACAAACGCCGACCATGCAAAACGCGTTTGTGATCGGTTTTGATAACCAGGAGACAGCCTATGAATGGATAAAAGCTATCCAAGAAGCGGCTCTTGTGGCCAGCCAATTGGCTACAGAGAGACGCAAAAAAGAACGCACATAGCCCGCGTAGCCAAGGAAATGTCTGACCTTATCATATATTTCCGTAGTGTCCCGTTCCGGGAACATTCATGGATATTTCAAGGGATACAGCTTCTCAGAAACAAAAGCAGAAAAACAGTTCTTTCAAAATAACCAGCCGCTGTTTCTTTCTTATCACCGCCACCAGATTAGAAGAGTGTATTCCAAAGGCCAATGGATTCGTCCTATTTTAATCCCATGCCCTTTTGGAACGTTGGCTCGCAAATGATCGCGCTAAACTATCAAACGGGTGATAAAGCTATGCAATTAAATCAGGCTAAATTCCTTAACAACGGTCTGAAGCCATCGTTCATTCAATAAGACTCTTTTAGCCCGAACAATCCTCAGTGCAATGGTCTTAGTGTGATCAAAGTTAGGCTTCGCCTAATAGCGGCACGACACCTATTTCGAGGAGGCAGGTCGAACAATCCGCAAATTGTAGTCGCCAGTTTCGATTCCGGCGTTAAGTACCGAACTAAAGTTAACGAGAACGGGTTTAACCCCGTGTGGAACGAAACCTGCGAATTTATTGTGCACACTTGGCCATTCTTCGGTTCGGGTGTAGGATGAAGACATGTTTGCAGAAGCTCACTTCATTGCGCAGGCATGCTATACTCTCACATGGGTGCGCCAAGGATATCGCAGTGTGGTTTTGCGTAACAAGTTCAGCGAGGAGCTGGAGCTTTCTTCCTTATTGGTCCATATTATCATTGAAAGTGTCTCATCCAACTAGTTCCTAAGCTAGGTTATCTACATACTTATGTGTTTGTTTCACATTTACTTGGGAAAACAAAAATTTTGAACATTATTTGTTTTACACATTGTCTTTACTAAAAAGTTTTCAATTTCCAATTTTTTTTTTAAATTTCAGGCACCGAAATTTATAATTTTATCTTTAAGTAACATCAAAAGTACTAGTTATTCAATAACACACATGTGTATTTATTAATGTTAGCAATAAGGAAACTAAACGTTATTACCAAAAGAGCCAAACAAATATTGCTTAGGTCATCATTTTGGTTATATTTTAGATGTTGTCTTATAATTTTAGCTGAACATAGTCAACCGATTCAAATCGTTTAAAGACAATTTCTTTTATTATTTTGAAAGATTACGAAATTATTATTTATAAAGTTTTCCGACTTATATACTGCGTGCAAAGGAAAGAAGGATGTGTGCAATGTTTCAAGTCGATAGCTTTAAAACTGAGAGACTAGTTTGCGTAGAAACAGTCAGATGGACATGCTTATCAACTCAGGAGATGATCCTGATCAAGAATATATATACCTTATAGGGTCGGAGATGTCTCCTTCACTGCGTTGCACATTTTTGGACAAAATTATAATACCCTCTGCAAGGGTATAAAAAGGATTACTCACTCACTGTTTCTGAGTAAATTTTAGGATTTTCTATTTATTTTCTGTTGCTGACTGCTACTAAAACTAATTTGGAATCCTTAATATGTGATAAGTCGGATGTAATATATTTTATTTTTTATATTATAGTGTAATATTTTTTATTTAAAAAATTTTTAAGTTTTATTGTTCGGACATCGGCTCTTGACCAATTGGGCATTGAATCCCGATTAATAAAAGGATTAAATACATTTTAAGTCATATAGAAAAATCGTTTCTGGTTTTATTTTGTTATAATATTTATTGGACAATTGGTGAATGTGAAAATTACGATTTTTTTTTCTAAAATTCGCGTCTATGGTATTTGTCTGGATCAAAGTACGAAGTAACAACGACACGATCGCTAAATTTTCTTCCAGTAAGTGCTTGCTGAGCCTTTTGACAGTCGAGAACCGAGTTGAACTCGACAAAAACTTTGCCGCAGCCTGGGACTTCAACGCCTTCTATAGGTCGCGGTATTTCAACACTGCGCACAACTCCATACTTCGTGCATTCTTCTTTAATGTCCTCCAGAATATCTTCGTATTCCTCTTCATCGCGAAGTTCGTCAGGAGTCACCATGTTAAGCAAGCACAGAACCTCTGTCGGCGGCCCGGAAGTTACAACTGTGGACAAACCAGGAACTTGCAACATAACTGATTGAGTGGTGTTTGAAGCGTTTTGGGCATTCTTTGCACCCACACTAGCACGTTGAACAATGAGTTTTTTATCGCCCAACTGCATTCCATTTAGTCCTGCAATTGACTTAAAAAATAAAATTATTAACAATAAGCATTTAATATTAAGAAGATTCAGATATTATTAAAATTATTTATAAATAAAGGTTTTTTTTTAATTTATGTTTACCTGGTCCGTAATGCTAAGATCTACGTATTCGCAAAAAGCGTACCCCTTACTTAGTCCAGTTGCTGCATCCTTGACAAGGTTAAATGCGCGTAGCTTGCCAAAGGACAGTAACAGTTCCTTAACCTTAAATAAAAAAAATAAAAATGAATTTTAGGTGGCTTATTTATAAAGTTGAATAATCTTTTCTGCCGTTACATATTTTGAATGTATAGTTAAAACGGAAATTAGTGTAATACCTGATCGTCATTTAAATAGTTTGGCAGACCACCAATAAAAATTTTGTGCGGCGAATCTGGAACCACCGTTGAGATTACTCCACTGGAAACTACAAAGCCGTTTTATGAATTAATATAGTAGATAACTCCTGTAAAGAACTTACCAACAGCCGGTTTAATTGCTGGTGTATCTGTGATTCCTGGCATAGGTTGATAATCATGTGGCCGTCTTATCTTCAAGCTCTGACCCTTTAAGTTAATGCCGTCAAATGCCATGGCCTGGGTGGTTTCATCAATGGACCTGAACTCAAGGAAAGCGAAGTTCTTGTCAAGGTTTATTTGACAGGCCAGAACTGGACTGCCTGCTGCCTGTGCCAAGCCAACTAAATGCATTTGCTGGTTAAAGAACTCCATCATCTCCTCCTCTGTGACGCCGAACGGAATGTTTCCGACGTAGAGACGACGGGCTTGACGGGTGATTGTCGATCCGACTACCGGCACCGCTGTCTGAGGAGTATCTGGTACAACACTGGCTGGTATTTGTCCAGACGCCTGCATAGCTTTATACTGCATTGGAGTAATATGTTCGAAACCCGGTGGCGGCACATCCCAGTACAGTGAAGGCTTGCGCCTTGAGTTTCGATGGTGACGACGGTCCCTCGATCGTTCGCGATGCCGGTCCCGGGAACGTGAACGGTGACGGCGTCTCTCCCTATCACGCTCTCTATCTAAAATAAATTAAAATGAACATGTATTTTCTTGCAAATCACTGTACAAAACACACAAATTGAATTATTTGTCGTATAATTTTCCATGCAGAATCCATTCAATACAAATTTTGTTAAATAAACCATATTTATAAGCGAAAACGACGCTTTCTTGTTAAGCTTAGCAACTTTTCACACAAATGCGCAAGTTTACATGTATATATGTACATATGTATATGAATGATGTACATATATGTACATACAAACATGCCGCCCTAATGGAATTAGCCGCTCATATTTTTAGAAGGCCCGTTTTGCTTAAGCAACACTGGGGTTATGGGTTTAATTAAAAGGTTATCTTAAAATCTTTAAGGACCGTTTTTTGACTAAAAAATATTTTATATCTTTTTCACAATACAAGCACAAATGTACATACGCATATTAGTACATACATATGCGGGAACGAACCAATTATTTTCTGTTTAAAAAAAAAAACATAGATGTTCTTTTCTTATATTTTCTGTTTTTAATTTTATCCTTACCATCATATCCCATTTTTATGTTTTGAAAAAATCAGTTCCTTAAACGAATTTAAATTTTACTATAAAAATTGCCGATGAAAAGTGTATCCCTTTAATGCGTATTTTATAGAGGTGGAAAAACATCGATACCAAGTAGTGTTGCCATTGTAGCTATTTTATTGTAAGATCTATCTGTTTAAAGATTATACGTTCTATCGGGAAAATCATTTTACTGAAGTAATATTAATAACTAAAAATCTAGCTGTTTTAATGGTTTATAGAAAAAAAGTTGGATGAACACGCAACTGCATAAAATTGTTTATGACTTCAAATATATGGACAGGCAATTAAAAAATGTGATAAAAGTTTCTTTTACCATAAATTGTATATCTAACGGCTTCCAAAAATAAATTCAAAATTTTTGCCAAAGATTTTCTTCAACTTATTTTTTAAGTTGAATGTGGAGATAGCAAATATTTTATTGTTACCGTAATATAATAGATTGATAAAATATTTAAGAACAGTTATCTTATATTATTACTCATAAACGCACATTATTTTTAGTTCTAGTAAGCTCAGAAGGTCACCATTTTTGTATTATTCAATTTTGTAAATTTAGCTTTTCTAGCACAAAAAATTCTGGTAGCACCGCTCAATTTTGGCAAATTGAATAGTTAATTTATTATTCGTTTTTCCTCAGTTATCAAAAAGCAAAACTAATAATTAATATTATCGATAAAAAACTTATCGGCATGAAAACCTTATAAGGTGTCCAAAGACTAACAATCAATTTGTTTTTTGGAAAAAATTGTGAATATTTATTTAAGACAATTTACGAATCTACAAAACATTTTTTGAATTTAATAGTGAGATTAACTATCATCCTAACACTCAAAAAAACTATTGTTCGAATTCTTAGCAAAAATGACGTGAACATTTTTATACCACCTTCTGATGCCTTCTGCGATTGTTATTTGGTTTTGTCTTGAAGATTTGGTGCTGGTTAACAATGAGCATTAAAATATATCTTCCGACCCAATATTTTTATTTTAAAAAGGCAATTAATCTTTATGGTCAAGTAAAAATCAGCAAAGACGATGTTATTGTATATTATATTGTTGAGTCCACATTTGATTTTAAGCCCAGTGCCAATGTAATGGATATTGAACCACGCCATTTACGCTTCTTGGGTTGCATTTGTAGTTTTAAATCATGTGACGAACAAAACCAATGCAAAAAATTTAATATGCGACTTTGTTTTACATTTGACGAAAACAAGGAAAATATATCTTTAACATATGTAGGAATAATACCTGAAACCTTAAAGCACGCTAAAATAATTCTATATGAAAATAATATAAGAAAATTATTTGTAACCGGAAAAAATGTTGACCATAAATGTGAGGAGTGTGATTATTTCGAGTTGTCCAGATTGGTTGATTTAACTCTTAAATCTCAAAAACATGAAAACAATGCTAAGAAGATCATATTAAATATAGGACATTTTTTGACGGGATCTCCATTTGTATTCTTTCAATATCTTTTTGAAAACATTTTGGTCAATAAACTTATTGAGCATACAACAGTTTACAAAAACTTTAAGGAATGGAAACAAACTTACGGAAAGGGGTAATACATTTGTTTGCGTTATAAATGATAAATGTAATGATTATATTTTTTCTCTGATTATAATTTACAGATCCAGACAACCGAATATAATACTTGATCGTGTTATAGGTATGCTATTAATGGTAGTGCTGTTTTCTTTAGCTATACAGCCAGGAGATTTTCTCATTAAAGTTTCTCACGTACGTAAGCTATACAACATTAAAATATAATATTAAATTTTTTCTCTCTATATAAGGCCATTATTGGAAATGTGTACAGTCTTCTGAACGTATTAGAAGGAAGTCCCATTGGGTTGAAACTTAATATTCATTTAAATAATTTTTTTCTGGACTGCTTTAAATATCACATTGCTTTATGGTCTACATTTTTAGGTATGTAAAGTGAAATATATATTTTAGCAACTCCATAAATACTTATGTGGGTAATTTTTCAAAAAGATTAATCGCAGTCAATGAACGTATTTTTTTCAAATGTAAATAATAATAAACCAGTGTTTTAATTAATCAAAACATAATTCGAAATATTAATGCAAAGTCACAATGAACAAAAGCCCACCCAAAAGTGTGCAACGCAGTGAAGGAGACATCTCCGACCCTATAATATATACTTTATTCTTGATCAGGATCACCTCCTGAGTTGATATGAGCTTGTCCGTCTATAACTGATTGATCGGAAATGACCCAACCTTCGTGTTATTGAAGATAGAAACTTAGCTGGAACTTAGTACAGATTATATTTTTAGTCAGTTGACCCGACCTACCAAATTTCATAACGATCGGCCGACAATATCTTATAGATAACTGAACGATCGGAAATGGTATTTGGTAGAAATACCAACTTTGGTATTTTTAAAGATAGAAGCTTGGAACTTTTTCTTTAAATATTTTATTGTAATTAAATAATTTTATTATGATATTCTCATAAGGATCGTCCAATTATATCCGATATTAGCGATATAAATCTGGTTTTAACTGCAAGGGTGTATTAACTTCGGCTCCGCCCGAAGTTAGCTTTCCTTTCTTGTTTAAAATTGAGGTTGGGTTACCTTTTCGTATATTGCAAGCCGCACGGCACCTTACGGCACTGGAACTAAAATTTCTTATATTTATTTATTTATATATTTATTTCGGCAACGGAAAAATCCTTGCATGGCTACAACATAACAACTTACAAACTAATAAATAATAGTACAATACTAATACAAACTTAAAAGGTTTCTGATTAACAAGCGTTTGAAGACAACCTTATCAGAGCCCCACTTAATTCGGAGGATAGGCGGTACAGATTTTAAATAAGAAAGAGCCCGCTCAATCGGCTCGTTTTAAAGATAATTGGCCTGTGACACTTGATCCGAAAGGGGGCAAAGGTACGAAGATCCCTTTGAGGAACATTAAAATTAATGAGTCCCAATAAAAAAGGACAATCAATGTTATCAGCGACTACATTGTTGAGATAAGTTAAAGCTGCCAATTTACGCCGATCCTCCAACGTGCAAACATTGTAAAGAAGGTAGCGGCTCTGGTACGAAGGTAGATGATCCTGAAACCTTAGAGGCACAAGAGCAAATTTTAAAAATTTTTTCTGGAGTCGCTCAATTCTGTTGGAACGAACTTTACAATCCAGATTCCTAATGATTAAGGCATATTCCAGCCTCGACCGAATAAATGCAGCTTAGACCCTGAGGCTCGAGTATGGACTTTTGAATTTTTTCACGAGCCTCTTATTAAAGCCCAGCATAGCATACGCTTTAGGCAGAATATAGTCTAAGTGACCAGAAAATTTAAATTTGCTGTCGAATAAGACACCAAGGTCTAACACCTCTTCTTTAGCTGCCAAATTATAATTACTGATGAAATAACCCGTGCAGATTTCAAGAGACCGCCTACTGTAACGGGTAAACATACACTTAGATAAGTTTAATGGAAGAAGATTACGGGAGAACGATGATTAGACTCTGGATACTCCTGTAACAAGTAGCTTTCACTAATATTGCTAATAGTTTTATAGATTTTAAGGTCATCCGCATACATTAAGAAAAAGGAATGACGAAAGCGTTACGAGATGTCATTAATGAAAATAATAAATAGAAGAGGTCCAAGAGAGCTGCCTTGTGGAAGACCAGAGGAGGTGACAAATGGACTTGAGAAAGCGTCTCAAATAGAAACGTGGCAAGGTCGGACAGGCTTAAAATGCTTAAGAATATTATACAAAACAAGAAAGGAAAGCTAACTTCGGGCGGAGCCGAAGTTGATATACCCTTGCAGCTAAAACCCGATATATATCGCAAACAACGGATATAGCTGGCCGATCCTTATGAGATTATCATAATTAAACCAAGTAATTAAAATAAAATATCTAAAAAAAAAGTCCCAAGCTTCTATCTTCAAAAATACCAAAGTTGGTATTTCTACCAAATACCATTTCCGATCGTTCAGTTATATGGCATCTATAAGATATAGTCGGATTAACTGACCAAAAATATAATCTGTACTAAGTTCCAGCTAAGTTTCTATCTTCAATAACAGTAAATTTGGGTCATTTCCGATCATGGCAGCTATAAGATATAGTCGGCCGATCCCGACTTTCTGCAAAGGAAAGAAGGGTGTGGGTAAAGTTTCAAGTCGATAGCTTTAAAATTGAGAGACTAGTTCCCGTAGAAACGGAAAGACAGACGGACATGCTCATATCAACTCAGGAGGTGATCCTGATCAAGAGTATATATACTTTATAGGGTCGGAGAAGTCTCCTTCACTGCGTTGCACACTTTTGGACAAAATTATAATACCCTGTGCAAGGGTATAAAGATGTGTTAATGCCAAAGAGTGCAATCACAACTAAAACTAGCCAAACACAGAAAAGACAAATTAAGAACGTTCACAATTATGTACTGAATACAATAATGATTTACATAAAACACAACACATCCTACTACTACACATATACTTTTTGTTGTAAAAAGAAAGTTAATCAGGCATGCTCCGGTTTTCACTTTCGGTTTTGGTTTTCGTTTTGGGACCAAAACCGAGATTTTCGTTTTTAGGTGCTCCGGTTTTCACAAGTTTTTAGTTATCGTTTTGCTATCGAAACGTATCATTTCTCATAACTTTTTGCTGCCGAAACAGCTGATTTGAGGTTTGGTCAGCAGCAAACAACGTGAAAAAAAGCCTGTTTATATTCAATTGCATCTTTAGTAGCCAAAAGAATTAAGGGGAAAAGCCAGAGAAGCCAAGTTAAGGGGCTTCTCTGGCTAAGGAAATCTTCTAGAGGTCTTAAAATAACGACAATAAACCAATAAGTCAACTACTTCTTTTCCTTTTGCAAATAAGATCCGATTTAATATAGAAAAAGGCATTTACTTTTCATTTAAGCCTAGTACTGAGTTGACGAAAATCCGCTGTCGAAAATCCGATAACGAAATCGCACTTTATTCATCTACCGAGCTACGCACGTTGCTTACGCTGCCATACACAATGAATATCATGCTATCTCTTTCGATGCTATTCTTGAAGAGGACAGGTACAGCAAAAAAACAAGAAAGGAAAGCTAACTTCGGGCGGAGCCGAAGTTTATATACCCTTGCAGTTAAAACCGGATATATATCGCAAACATCGGATATAGTTGGCCGATCCTTATGAGAATATGATAATATTACCCAATTTATTATAATACAAAAACCAAACCTAAAAATGTCCCAAACTTCTATCTTCAAAAACACAAAAGTTGTGTCATTTCCGATCGTTCAGTTATATGGCAGCTATGGGATATAGTCGGCCGATCCTAATGAAATTTGGTAGGTTGGATCATCTGGCCAAAAATATAATCTGTATTAAGTTTCAGCTTCCTATCTTCAAAAACACGAAAGTTGGGTCATTTCCGATCGTTCAGTTATATGGCAGCTATAAGATATAGTCGGCCGATCCTTATGAAATTTGGCATGTCGTAATGGTTTGCCAAAAATAGCTCTCTTGTCAAATTTGAACTCTCTAACTCTAAAAACACCAAAGTTATACCATTTCCGATCAATCAGTTATATGGCAGCTATATGATATAGTCGGCCGATCTGGGCCGTTCCGACTTATATACTGCGTGCAAAAGAAAGAAGGGTGTGTGCAAAGTTTCAAGACGATAGCTTCAAAACTGAGAGACTAGTTCGCGTAGAAACGGACAGACAGACAGACGGACAGACAGACGGACAGACGGACAGACGGACATGCTCATATCAACTCAGGAGGTGATCCTTATCAAGAATATATATACTTTATAGGGTCGGAGATGTCTCCTTCACTGCGTTGCACACTTTTGGACAAAATTATAATACCCTCTGCAAGGGTATAAAAATGAATAGATTCAAATAGCTAGACAAATTATAAATAAGAATAAGAACATTTAAAGCAGTGGTCGGCACCCCAATACATTGATATGATTTTACCGCATTAGTGTTAGTAACGAATAGCAGAAAGTAGGCTGTGAGCATGACGTTTCACACATTTATACTGTGTGTGTGTGGCAGAGCTCGGGCAGAGAAATTTCCTATGCCCCCGAGATAGGGCCGTGCCGACCTCTGATTTAAAGACAAAATTTTGAATTTGTTTTTTTTTTGGCCTACAGGCGCACTATAGGAAATATGACCACTTTTTCTGGCCAAAAATAATATCTCAATAACGAAACAAGATATTTAAGTTCTGATTTTTGATTTGAGTTCAAATGGTCAATAGATTTAAGGTTTAAAAAAAATGTGGGCGTGGCACCGCCCACATTTCAAGAAACACATTCTAACTCAAAAACTAAGCAAGATATTTAGATTTTGATTTGATTTGAGTTTAAGTATATGGTCAAAAGAACTTATATTTGAAAAAATTGTGAGCGTAGAACCGCGCCCTATTTAAAAATAACATGCTTATTGTAGAACTAAGAAAGATATTTCAATTTGGTTCTTTTTTAGTGTTTTATAAAGCCATAGTCTTCTTTTGGAAAAGTAGGTAGGTTTTAAAGTAGGAAAAGTAGGTAGAATATTATACAAAACAAGAAAGGAAAGCTAACTTCGGGCGGAGCCGAAGTTGATATACCCTTGCAGCCATTTGGGTCATTTCCGATCATGGCAGCTATAGGATATAGTCGGCCGATCCCGACTTTCTGCAAAGGAAAGAAGGGTGTGGGTAAAGTTTCAAGTCGATAGCTTTAAAATTGAGAGACTAGTTCCCGTAGAAACGGACAGATAGACGGACAGACGGACATGCTCATATCAACCCAGGAGGTGATCCTGATCAAGAATATATGTACTTTATAGGGTCGGAGAAGTCTCCTTCACTGCGTTTCACACTTTTGGACAAAATTATGATACCCTGTGCAAGGGTATAAAGATTTGTTAATG